ACACACACACACACACACACACACATATATATATATACACACACACACACACACAATATATATATTTTAATGTTTTTATTTTCCTAGATGTTATTATAAAGTAATAGAATCTTCTCCTGTTCAGAGATTGTGTGCACACCCTCCACTCCAGAGAATTGTGGCTTAAAGAAGCACGAACTGTCCGAATCGGAGAGGAGCCATTCAAGGTGGTCATATATATTTTATGTTGTTTTATTTTATATTTCTTTTCCTCTCGTTGGTTCACTTCCTGTAGTTTGTTTCTTTTTGTTTGCTGTTACTTGTTTTTCATCATATTAACTTTTTCAGCACGCACAAATGTTTTATCTGCAACAAGTTAATTTAGTTACAGTTTAATAAATGTGATTCACTGTCAGGGATTTATTGCAAATGCAGGAGGAATATTTTCTGAATCGGTTTTAGTTTCAAGGTTGTTGTTTTTTTCACATTTTAAATTTAGCAGAAAGTGATTTTTAAAACAGTTCTAGATCAAGTTAATTTGAATAAGAAAATTTTGAATCTTTATTGTCATTATTAAAAATGGCAAAAAAAATTATAATAACAAGCCACACACAAATCCTTTGCAAAGTGTAAAGAAAGTGCAATGGTAATAGGTGGTCCAAAGTAGTTTCTCACAGTCCTTTTAATTGAAGATATTTACAGTACAGATGAGAAAAAACCATTATTAAAATAAATGTCTGAATCTCCTGTAGTAACACTGATGTTTGATAAGTTTGTATGTTTTGTGTGTGTCTGGTGTTAGATGGTGAAGGGCTTCTCCAATCGTTCAAGAAAGGCCAGGATGATGTCTGAGACAAAGGATGAGAAGGACCTTCCTCTGTTTGGAGAATGGCAAACTGAGGAGTACCAGCCACCCATAGCTGTGGACGGGAAGGTCTGTGTGATGAGACTTAACAGCAAGAACAGTCACAGAAGCAGAAACAACAGGCTAAATGTACATTTGAAGTTTGATCAGAAACTAGCATCTGCAGGAAAAATAAATCTAAAATTAGATGTGAAGCAGAGCTGCATTTTCCTCTACTGAATAAAAAAAAATAGAAATTACATTTATAACAATTTAGGGTGAAAGATGACAGTAACGTAAAACGATCCAACAGAATTTTGTCTGTTCTCTTTAGGTTCCTCGTAATGAATACGGTAACGTCTACCTTTTTAAAGCCTGCATGATCCCAGTGGGCTGTGTTCATGTCAGACTGCCTAACCTGCACCGTGTGGCCCGGAAGTTGAACCTCGATGCTGTACCTGCAGTTACAGGCTTCGACTACCATGGAGGATATTCACACGCTGTGTAAGACCAAACCCAGAAACCTTCTGAGGAGATTAGTTTGTCTTTCAATCACAGGTGTAACTTAACTTTCTCAACATATTAAAATCAAGATAATGTTCTATAATGTTTAAATTAGGTCTATGAAGTCTTCAGACATTTGTTTTGATTCCTCATCACTTTGCTGTGATGTCTGATGATGATTAACATTAGACAGGATATAAAATCTTATTAAGTACATCTTTTTTTAGACTTGAAAACATGAATGAAAAGAAGAACATGGCCTCACTTTTTAATTTTTTTTAACTTAGTTTTTTAATTTATGTTTAGAACTGATGGTTACATCGTGTGTGAAGAAGATGAGGAGATTCTCAGAGCTGCCTGGGTGGAAGAACAGGAGATTCAGAAACAGAAACAGAAGGAGGTGTGTATACATGTGGGTTTTCTTATACAAGACCTACTTTTGGTTAAATTAGGAGTTAAAGTGCCTGTGACACGTATATTCATGAAATACAAAAAGTTGAATAAAATATATTTATATTCAAGGAACTTGGCATAATGCACATGATTTTACCCGTTATGTCACATAACTGACATATTTTCTTTTGAATTTGGCTCAGCTAAAGTGAAACAGGAAGTGACATCAAAGGGGAACTCTTTGAGAAAGAAAACTCCCTGTTTTTTGTTTATCGGAACTATATTATTTGAATTATGATTCTTTCTCATCTCTCTATGATAGTGATTAAAATAATCTAAAGAAACGTCAGATTCTTCTCTACAGTCTGTGCTGTTAGTCATTTTAGCAACGCTCTGTTTACATTCAGACATTCCCCTTTGACATCACTTCCTGTTACTGAACATGCAAATATCTCAACAAATGTTCATCTCAGTGGCATGAAATCTTTTTTACAATATGTTATCAATGTTATCTTTCCAAAAATACATTCATATTTATTACAAAAATTTGATGTCATAGGTACTTTAATAAATAAACATGAGTTTATAACTTTGCGTTCAAGATGGAAATTTGGAGTACAACCTCTACTAAAACTCTAAACCTCTTCTTTTCAGAAAAAGGAAAAGCGTGCCATCGGCAACTGGGCTCTGCTGGTGAAGGGACTCTTGATTAAAGAGAGGCTTAAAAAGCGTTACAACAAGAAGCCCCAGGGGTTGGGGAACCTTGCCCATGAAGATGATGCTGGGGGTTTTTCGTCTGACGAGGAGGTGGTTGAAGGTGACGCTTCCGGAGCGAAGACGGCATCTGAGACCCTGGCAATGTCTTGGCCCCAAAACAGACAAGCTGAAGAGGAAGACAGGAGCGGAAGCAGAAGCAAGAGGAAGACAACGAGACGAGGGAAGAAGAGTCAGGAGAAACATTTATTCCCCTTTGAGAAAGTTTAATGTTGGACAAAAAAGTTGTGTTTTGGTCGATGCTGTCAACAACGCACTTGTTTGTGATTTTTACTTTGAAAAATGTTCAAACGTTTAATAGAAGGAAGCTGTTTCTCAGGAGAGGACTCAATAGACTTGATGGATGGATGGATGGATGGATGGATGGATGGATGGATGGATGGATGGATGGATGGATGGTCAGAAGAGATAAATCCTGTAGCCAGCATCTATGCAGCTTTGCGGTAAAGAAAACAAACACAACATGAATGTTTTATAGAAAGTATTCGGTTTCATTTATATGGACACTAATAAGCAATATCACTTATTTTACTTTATTTCAGAAATTAAGCATTGTTTTTTCTCAACGATTCTGAAAACAAAACATTAAATGCATTTACAGTGTGTCAGATTGGCTGAAACTAAATGAGAAGAACAGAAAATATGATGCGTCTATTAATAACTAATGGTAATTTACTGTCTTTTGTCGGTTTTTGAATGACCACTGTGAGCGTTTGAGGTGATGTAAATGGTTTTGGGTGTGATTTGGTTTTATGCGATGATAAATTTCTGTGGATCATTCTTTTGAGGATGCGGCAATAAGTTTGTAACTCCATATTCAGTTTAAGCTTTTCACCAATTTTTAATTTTTTAAAATATTGGTGTTTGACTTCTACACGTTTTTTCAATAATAACTTGCAAAACATTTATCACTGTTCTAATTTTGTTGCTTTATGTTTTGTACACAGGTGATGGTGGATACAGTCAAAAATAATCAACATGTTTTGTATGAAAAGTATTTTTGTAAAAAAGATTAGAAGTAAAATATAAAACCATATGGAATGTTGTAATTTTTTCTGTTCTTTTTATATTATTATTATTATTATTATTATTACAGTAGTTCCTTCATTTAGGTTAGCAAATAAACAAATAGCCATGTCAAATAGTGTTCATATCAATAAAAGTATTATGTATTAAGTACCAAACTAACAATGGGATTGCCTGTTAAACTAAAAATTTTAACGCATATTTTTCTCTCACTTTACCTCATCTCAGCTCCAGGATAAGCTTTTGAACAAACCCCTGCCCATCTCTGTAGCAGAGTACAAGAACCATCCTCTGTATGCCTTAAAGAGACACCTGCTCAAGTACGAAGCTCTCTATCCTTCTACGGCCACCGTCCTCGGGTACTGCAGAGGAGAACCTGTGTACTCCAGGTCAGTACTACTGTGTACTCCAGGTCAGTACTACTGTGTACTCCAGGTCAGTACTACTGTGTACTCCAGGTCAGTACTACTGTGTACTCCAGGTAAGGCAGCTGTTTTGTCCCACTTCTTCAACTTTGGGGAATTGGACCTCATGATTGAAATAAATCTCCTTTGTTGAATTTGATGGCGTTGCTTCTTCAAAGGGAACAGTTCATACATGAAACATCTACAAAGAATCATCCAAGTTCAAAATGAATGTCATTGTAGGAATACCCTTTCCTAAACGTATTTGTTTAAAATGTTAAACAGGGAAAATGAAAAAAAAAATACATATTTTATATTTGTAAACTAATATGAAAATGCAAAACTGTCATTTAAGACATAGAGAAAACATGTCTTTTTCCTTAGAGTGTGTGTAAAAATTATAGTACTATTATGGATTTAATTCTCTTGCTGCAAACTACAGATGAATTTTTTGTCTGTAATTTAAAACATTGACTACCAGGTTTGAGTACACTATGGTAAAAATTATTTGGTATATATATATATATATACATACACACACGCGCACACACACACNTTATTATTTATTTTGATATATGCTGATTGAAAAACATCAACAACTGCATCCAAACTACTTCTATATACAAAGTAGTTTACCTAAAAGCAACATGAGTGTAAATACACAAGTGTTGATTCTATTTTTGCTTTGATTTTTACATTTTATTGAAAACATGCACAATCTGCCCTTTAAACCCAGCAAGTAAACATTTCCCAAGTTTCCGTTATCAGAGAAGGCTGATTGGGACATTCTTGCGAACTATGAAGTAAAGAATGTTTAAAAAAAAGTACAAATCTGAACCAACCATTAACTAGAATCAATAATTTACAAAATATAAGGCATACCTTGAAGAATAAACAAATGACTAATGATAAATGTTGTCATTTTGTAGTAGTAATGTTGGGTTGGATTGAACATTTGTTGCATCGAATGCATTAAATCAGTTTCCTGTTCTAGTCCAACTACCTGCAGTTCTCCTCAGGACTGAACTATTCTTTACTCTGAGTAGCTTCAGGGAATCACATTAGAGCATAATGCATTCTAGCATTAGTCATCACTTCTATATCATCTCAGGGCTACAATAAAGTGCAATACTCCATCTAGTTGTGAAAATACAATGCATACAGTTCCAATCCATCAGTGAAACTTCAATGGCAAAACCTTCAATAAAATAGTTGCACAATCTAGGCTGGGATCAGTTTCAGCTATTGTCAAACAAAACTTTAGGTCTGAATAAGTTACAAGCATTTTGTGCTTTTATGTAAGTTAGGACACCTACATTGAAATAATTTGATAAGCAACTGTTTTTAGGGAAGATAAGGCTGCGTGAGAAAGGCGGACGTGACGTCATTGATAAGCACCTCTGTAACCGTCTATCTTCCGCCTCACATCCAAGCCAAGGAGTCAAAACTGCACCAGGTTTCCACACTCGGGAACTCGCTCCTGTTTTCCGCCACAGAAAGTCGAGCCGACGCTGCTCTAAAAGGTAAACGCTTTGAACTTTTCGAAACAATAAGTGGACGCAGCGGTAGTTTAAATGTCCCTGTTTACACCCCCAGCTGCAGCAGGCCTTGTTTACATCTCAATCCCCGGAGTAGAGTAGGCGAGAGAGGCGGAGGCTTGGCTGAAGAGAGGATGCTAAGAACGGGGCTTCTTTCTTGTTACTGAGCAAATACAACTTTTTCCCCTCCCCCGAAGCCTTCAACAAGCCGATAAGAAAAGAAATTCGCCGTTCATCTCGTGGTCATGATGGGTTTAGCACGCTCACGCTGAGCTTAACTACCAGCACGCTAGCCAGAAAGCTAATCTTGCTAACGACAAGTCATTCACTTTTCCCCCCTTCTTCTACTTCTTCTTCTTCTTCTTCTCCGAGGTCAGACCGAGATGCCAACATCCAGAGTTAGTCGGGGTTTTTACAGTCCGCAACTCGGATTAGAACACATTGTTTGACTTTACCCAAATTCTGTTATCTAATTTGTTTTGATTGAGTGGCTGTTTTAAATTAGCCTAGCGAGATCTGTGTCACCCAGTTTTCAGCCTATTTTTAAACCCTGGATCGGCAGACGGTATGCGAGCAGAGCCGTCTGTTAGCTGTGCTGGCACCGGGAGTCATCTGGCAGGCTTCCCCCACGGCCAACCTTATTTTATCTTCAGGTTTAAAAGCCGCAAAGTCACATTTGAAGTCCGGTGCCAGATGTTTCTTATCGATGGTGAATATTATAAACGTTGAATTAAACCCAGATTCTCCTACGATAGGGTTTGTATTGATTTATTTCTTGAATTCCCTTGGAAAGTTGTAGGGTTTTTCAAACCTATAACGAAGAGGAGCGGTTTTGTGGGCAAAGATGAGGCTTTGGTTTTTAATGTTTACCACGTTAAAAGCTATATAAAAAGGGGTGTATGAATGACAATAATGGGATTCCCACTCTAACTTGTAAACTATGGCGTAACACGTGTCCTCCACACTTGTTACACTCAAAATAGAGCAGTGGTTCCAAACTTTTGTCTCAGGGCCAAACTTAACGTTGCGAAACACTAGGATGATTTGGAAAATTAAGTTTGCTTTTTTTGTGTGTCAATTTCAGGTTATAGAACAGTTCCTTACACTATATGATACAAAAGAAAAATCTGTCTAAATCAAAAGCCAAATTAAACGACAAGTCTCAAGTGATGAGTTAATCGTTTAAATGAATTTGGCACAGTCACTGCTAAAGCCCGATCACCTTTATGTTTTAATCTGGATCCTGAAACATTTAAGAGAAAAAGTGGTATCACATTGAGTTGTTGGGAGATGAGCTTTTTACTCAGAATTGCGATTTTTCATTGACGTCTCACTGGGTGCGGAGTGCAACCAAGCAGCCGACTAGCCATGTAGTCGTATTTTGAGTGGTAAGTGTTTAAAAATCACAGCCTGTTTTTTTGTGTGCGCACAGTTTGCAAAACTGCATTCTTGGTCAATCACATTGTTTTCTTGTGCACATCAGCTTGTTGTGTACCCACCTCAGCAGTGATGTGTTCATCTTTGATGCCACACCATATGAATTTAGAGACACTAGAGGCTGAGGCAGAGTCAAGTGTTCTGTAAATAAATGACCTTTTTGTTGCAAAATGACTCAATTTTCTCATTCTTTCCTCAGATTTCCAAATGAGTGACGGGGAGTGTGACTTCTTTTGCTTCTTCCGCTGCTGCTGAGCGCACTCTGTTGCGCTTCAGGCAGACAGGAAGGAAGTGGGGTCTCTTAGCACTGACTCCAGGTGGAAAGCAAGAGGTGGCGCTTCGGTCAAGCCATTTCGGCTTCGGCTGGACCACTTGAATCCGACAGGTAGGCGGTTTTGTCTACCTGAGCGGGGGGTTGACTTCAGTCGACTAGATGTCTGTGGACATGAACAGCCAGGCATCTGACAGCAACGAGGAGGACTTTGGGGTGAACTCAGAAGAGGACGAGGATGACGACGATGGGGGAGAAGAGGAGGATCAATCTGCCTATTACGACGGCGTGGCCGGTGACGTGGAGCAACAGGGTGCCGATTCCTTTGACCCAGAGGAGTACCATTTCACATGTCTGTCATACAAAGAGAGTCAGTGTGTGCTGACGGACGAAGTAAACACTGTTGCTGCTGCTTTAAAGGTGAGCTTCTTTATAAAGATCAAAATGAACTAAAGTGTGCCGAAGTGTACAGTGTTTACTCAAGAAGGGGCATAAAAATTTGCACCCAACTTTCCACCGATCAGTGTCGGTGAGTTAAGGTTCTTGTACACCAGCCCAACAAACACAGTTGCAGTTTGTTGTGCATCTTGAAGTGAAACCTGCTGTCTGTTTAATGCAGCAAATGAACCCTATAATGAGGAAATGTGTTAATAAACACATTAATAATGCTAATAAAGTGTTCTGTTTTTGATATACAAAGCTTAAATGCTTTTTAAGCACAGTGATAAAACTTTGTGGTTGTGGGAAAAGTTGGAACGGTCACCTTGAAGAAGGACTTGAAGTTTGGGAAAGGTGTGAGAACCCTGTGTTTATTTGCTCATTTCTGTAAACACTGACACACTGTATATCTTTTTTAGTGTCATCTGACCATTTGTTTTTAAATTCAAATTGTGAACGTATTTATGAAGCATCGTTTTATTACTTTGACTTTAAGTACGTGTCCTTGTTTTCCTTGCAGGTTTCACCATCAGTAGCAAAACTGACCCTGGTGCATTTTCACTGGCAGATTTCTCAAGTACTGGACAGGTGGGTTTCTTCCACACATTCACAGATTCTGTCTTTTAATTTTTTTTAAATTATCCCTTAGTTCATTCTGTACTACACTACACCCAACATTTCTACATTTTCCTCCTCTTTTTCCTGTATTTTTGTAGTTATTTTTTAAGAGTTTTTGTATTGACATTGGCAGCCAGAAAAAAAAAGTTCCAGTCTCTCAAAGACAGGCAGGGGAGTGGTGACTCAGCTTCACAAACATCTATTTTATTTTGTTCCATCCATCTGCTGTAAGTTTATGATGTGGCGATTTGATGGATTTATGAGAAGTTAACTTGGAACCATTTTTAAGTCTTTAATCTGCACGTTTATCCACTTCCATTTCCCTTTTCAATCTGTGGTTTTGTTCATTTCCCCCACAGATGTAAGTCCAACTCCTCTCTGCTTTTGTCAGAAGCTCTGGTCCAGCCCAGCAGCACATGCAGATTAGTCACTGTGAGTAAAAACTTGTTTCATTTAAATGCTGCTTTTCTTTTGCTCGCGTGGTATCAAATTCAAATGCAGCACTTATTATAAAAATATTACTGTTGATTTGCAGTTCAAGTTATTTAATCAAATCTTTTCAAACACAAAATAAATAAGGTTACTGTGTGATCAGTCTTATTATTATTGTTTCTTGTGTATTTCAGGCCCCTCAGTCCCTCCAGTGTGGTGTGTGTCTACAGGTTGTACGGAGAGACTCCCTCCTTGCACTGCCTTGTCAGCACTCCTTCTGCAAAGCATGCTGGGAGCAGCACTGCACTGTACTGGTCAAAGATGGTATTGGAGTGGGTGAGTACTGTACACAGTGTGTGTATCTCTGTCACCTGAGTTGCAGTCTGTTTGATTTCAAGTTCATTTATGTCTGGACTTTAGATTCTGTTCTCCTGTGTGTATTTTCCACTTGTTATTTTTAAGCTCTTGTTCAGCTGTTGTCTTCTTTGAGGGCTGGAGTGGTGTTCTAATCTAATCACTAGCAGTTGTACTGACAGGAAACACTGAATATATGGTGTATGATATGAAAATTCTGAAAGACTTTAAAATTAAGAGATTTGATGACTTCCATCTGGTGTGACGTTCTCCAGGCAGGCGTGCTGTTGCAGCAGCTTCGTGGTTATCAGTGCGTGTCTGTGAAAGAGTGTGCTTGTGTCAGCAGGATAGCAGATGGGTGTGTGGGCGTCGGCGTATAGTTGTTCAGAGAACTGTGTGTGTTTGTGGAGGGGGGGGTGGGGGTGCAGGCTTACCTTAAATCTTAATGATTTGTAAGACCTCACTTGTATGCAGTGTCCCTGTGCTGCTTCTTAAAGGCCTCTCTGATAAAGTTGGTCCACATAGTCAGAGTCTGAGTCTGATAAGCATCTCTATCAGCTGCGCCAAGGACAGATTTGTGATGAAGAGTGACCCCAATCCAGTTTCTGGATCAGTGTAACACATCTGCTTAAACCAAACTGGATTGCGGAAATTTTCAAGAATCGGTAATCCGTTTACATTATTAAAATAAATAAAAAAGCTGAAGTTGTAGTCGTTGTAGTGTGGTGTTGAAAAGTTTTCCTGCAAATAGATTTCCCTTTGGCAAAACCACTCAAGTGTATTTTGCATCTGTTTACACAACATTTTTTTTCTCAACATTAAGCCGTTTTGTCTCACGTGAACAAACCGTCCATTAGCACTGAGTCACAACATGATCCAGCAAGGGACAGATTGTTGCCTCATCCATCCAATGCCGCTGTTCTTAACTCCACAACTTTGTTGCTCAGTTTAGAACTTACCAGTTCTACTTACTGACGTTAGAGAAATAAGACTTTTTGAACAGTGTCTGTAGGGATGGGTACCGAATTCGATACTTTTTTAGGTACAGACCGAATTCTGTCGGTACTACCGAGAACCTATTCACGGAACATCAAACGGTACTATGTATCGGTACCTAAACGCATCATTGCAAGCGGTTTGGTGTAAGTGTGGTGAGTTTTCCATGCTTGTCCTGAACGCAGCGTCACACACGAGCGTAATGACGTCAGCGGCCGCTGGTTCAGTAAACGGAGACAGCAGAGCTCGGTCTGAACGTAGCTTGAAAGCCTCGCAGCTCCTGGAGTAAAACTCACCGAACAGACCGCCTCTGAGTTATCTGGTGGATTAATTTTCTTGTGAGCACGACGTTCGCTTGCTCAAAGTAAATAGAGTACCACCACTTTCTTTATTTCATCCGCCATTAAACAGAGACCGACAGAGGAAAACAACAGAGGTGCTTCCTGACAGTCCGAACACGTCTGGCCTGAAAGAGCACAAGCAGCCAGCTTTAAAGTGTTGGAGCGTTTTGGATGCTCAAAACGTAGCTTGAATACCTTTTATTAATTTTAACTCCGTCCTCTGTTGCTTATTTGATTTAAACTTATTTGCCTCCCATGGACCTCCATCACACAATTTTTCTAGCGGGGAAATGACATCAATAGAAACAAGTGGAGCTGGATTTTAATTTGTGCAATAAGACAAAACAGTCTTGTTTTCAAGAGTTTTCATTTTGAAGAAATAAGTTACACAACTGATGTTACAATACAAAGAGTTGGATGTTGTCTTGATATTTGTTAATTTTATATATTGAGAAATATGTTAAATAAAAAAAAAAGTTTATTATTGAAAAAACAACACACACAATGTACCAAAAATCCCAGGTACCGGATATTGGTACCAAATCGATTCAAACGTCAAAGGTACCCATCCCTAAGTGTCTGTCTACTTTCGTCCAAAAAAGTCTTTCATTGTAATTGTGGCAGCTAGTTTTACCAGTTTAATATATCGGCTTATAATTTGAGTCGTGGTAAAGAGAACACAACAATCAGTAAAACTGCTGACATAATAGATCAGTGGTTTCCAAACACTGAACTACTGAGCCACAAAATAACGGTGGCTGAGTCTCACTCCCACCTATCATTAGATAAGGTGTTATCAGCCACTGCTAAGTCGACTAAACAAGAATTTCAGTGCAAACGTCCTCAACAATTGTCATATTTTCATCCATTTGCCTGCTTTCTTTTATTTAAGTTATCAAAAAAATTCTAGTAGCAATTATAAATTTTATTAGATTTTTGTACATTTTCTCAAAGCCCCATACTTCAGGAATCATTGTGATCAAATGGCAAACTTGTATTTTCTAAACATGGATAAGATTGCAGCCTGCACAGTTCTACCTAACGTGGTTGAAATCACTGCCACTTCTTTCTGCTGTTTGTGTTCAGGTATCTCGTGCATGGCTCAGGACTGTTCCCTGTGCATGCCAGAAGACTTTGTCCTTCCATTGCTGCCCGGGGAGGAGCTAAAGGACAAATACAGACGCTATCTCTTCAGAGATTATGTCGAGGTGTGTGTGTCTGGCTCTTCGTGCGCCGAATCTGTTTTGTTAAAAATGATCAAATAAACAAACATCATCCTCATAAATAGTTTCTTTTAAGTTTGCATACGTAATCCACAGAATGCAATACGTTTTGATGAAAATGTTTTAAAGTAAAAGTCTGGTCTAAGCAGTTTCATCAGGCTAGACTTTTATTAAGTCTTGACCCTTTTTTTTTTTTTGCAGAGTCACTTCCAGCTGCAGTTGTGTCCAGGTGCAGACTGTCCTATGGTTATCAAGGTGCAGGAGCCTCGGGCACGCAGAGTTCAGTGTAGCCGCTGCAATGAAGTATTTTGGTAGGAGAAACACAGCAAGGAACATTTGTAGTCATGAGTTAAACAGGTGTTATCCTGACATCATAGAATCCTGTCCTCTTTCCAGAAAAGACTGTGAGGCTGGAAAAGATGTTAATAAAAACAGAACACATTGGAATGTGTGAATTATTTTAATGAGGCTTGTTTTAAGTTTATATATTATAAGCTATGTCACATTTAGTATGACGCCTGAAAGCTTCACCGTTGTCATGAATGTAACGGTGAATGTGTTTGTTTTCTCTCCCTCAGTTTCAAATGTCGTCAGATGTACCACGCACCCACAGATTGCGCAACAATTCGAAAATGGCTGACCAAATGTGCAGACGACTCAGAGACTGCAAACTACATCAGTGCACACACTAAAGATGTACGATGGCTGCACATACACACATGCTGTACCTGCTGTTTACTTTAATGCTTTTGTGCAGAAGTATCAAATGCATGCCACGTGTACTGCACATACAGAAAAGGTTGCACATGTAGTTATGGTTAAACATCAGTGATGCCTTTCTCTGTGTCTGGATCATTTTCGCGGTGTCTGGTTTAAATGAGAAGCTAAGTACTGTTTATCTTTCCTCTAGTGTCCAAAGTGCAATATCTGCATTGAAAAGAATGGAGGGTGCAATCACATGGTGAGTAAAAGCTGAAAAATCACAGAAAATGTAAAAATATGTAGTCAGACCCTGGCTTAAGTCTTTTTTTCCAAAGCTGTAATAAAGCACCACTTAGCAGATTTGTTACTTGATATTTGCTGTTTTATTTATTCTTGGAAGTATCAAAGTAGTTTCTGTTTGTTTGTTTTTTTTCTTTTGTTTTGTTTTGAACAGTTATTTGTTGAATTTAACGTGTGGTTGTTTATGCAGGTCTGTTTTTCATTAATTACACTTCCTTCCTGTGTGTGTGTTTGTTTCAGCAATGCTCCAAGTGCAAACACGGTAAGTTGTTGATCTCCAAGGAAAATGTTTCACACAAATCATTTACAGTCAAAATTGCAATTTGCTATAGTGTATTTTTTTTTTCCCCAATTGCCAAAAATTGTTTCAGTAATTGTTACTGCATGTCATCGCTCATTGTAAATCTTTTTAGAGGCATATATTTAAATGAATTACATTAAAAATATATATAATTTATCAGGATTTAAGAATTTTCTTCACTTTGTGACCCAGAAATGTTACAGCTTAGATTGCTGTAGTCTGAAAAAAAATCAAACAAGTCTTGTAAATTATTGTGTTTTTATAGTAAATCCTTTATTAAGCTTGTGCACAGAGTTTATGAAGGTGTGTTTTCTGCTTTCTGACAGACTTCTGCTGGATGTGTCTTGGAGACTGGAAGACTCATGGCAGTGAATACTACGAGTGCAGCCGCTACAAAGAAAACCCTGATATAGTCAACCAGAGCCAGCAAGCTCAGGCCAGAGAGGCTCTTAAAAAATACCTCTTCTACTTTGAAAGGGTGAGCTTTTTCTTTTCTTTCCTTTTCTGAAGAAAGATAAATTATAACTATGGCTGCACAATAGTGGAAAAACTTCTAATATTATTGTTTAATATTGCAAAAAGTATAGCAAATGAATAAGTCCACATTTTCCTCACTACACACCGTCGCTTTAATAATCTAAACCAGGTGTGGGCTTCAAGGTCAGTGAGGGTTTGTTGGATTGAAATAGCGTGCAGAAAATGAATGAATGCTACATGAAATTAAATAGTTTGATTTATTGCAATCCAGTCAGGTCTTTGCAATATGACTATGCCACTCACTGACATTCAAATAACACTAAATTTGCAAATAATTGTGCAGTCCTATTTTTAACCTTAAAATGCTACATTTACAGAGTCCTTAAATTTTAAGTTAAGATAAAAATCTAAAATAAATGCACATTTGATTTTGTTTTCCTCTGAAATGCTGAGCTTCAAAGGGATTCAAAAATGAAATATTTAACAAAAGGGACTTGTTTGGGTTTTTTTATCTGTGTACACCAACAAATTGTGACTTTACTGTTGCTCCTGTATTTTTGATCGTACATCATTTCTTCTGCTTCACAGAAGATGCAGAACAAGACGATGTAAATTTTTGCGCATTCTCAGAAAGAATTTTCAATGATCATGTTACGCAGCCTTATGTCTGTACCTTTTGTTAAAATATTGAGAAACACTGCAAAGGCAGAGTGTTTAAAGCGAAATATATGATTCATTGTTTGTTACCCATGAAATGCTTTGTTTTGTCAGCGTTTCAATATGTTAAATAGTGCTTTTTGTCCCTTTTTGCTACCAGTGGGAGAATCATAACAAGTCTCTACAGTTGGAGGCTCAAACGTATCAGAGAATCCAGGAGAAGATCCAGGAGCGAGTAATGAACAATCTGGGCACCTGGATCGACTGGCAGTACCTGCATAACGCTGCAAAGCTACTGGCTAAGGTACTGTGGAAACTCTGAACACAGACGGCGAGTTCTGAATGATTAAATGTGATAGAAAGAAAAATAAAACTGTAATAAAAATATTTTTTAAATTTGTGGACAATGAAATCACTATTTAAATGTTAATAATTGATGGCTTTATTAATTTCTGTTAAGCTGCCAATGAGTTTGTACAGCTCACATGCATACAGTAGTCCAATCCTCTTTTTATTGTACCTGTACCCTTTAGGAGGTGTTTTAAAATGTTACAGTAATGTGTCCTACCATCTGTATGCTGATGACATACAGTTGTACTGTTCCTTTCGACCCTCTGAGTTRTTCAAACTATCTGAACTCAGTAACTGTCTGTCAGAAGTCAAAARATGGCTGAACAACAACTACCTGCAMTTAAATGCAAACAAGACTGAAACTCTTATTATCGCCCCTGATGATAAAATCCCTGTAATCAGGCAGCACCTTGCTTTTTTAACCCCTTCAGTGAAAAATAGTCT